ATTTTTTGTTTACTTGGGTATTTTTAAGAGTTCTTTAGATTATAGAGGTTGATTTGTGTTTTTAGGTAGATTGTGTATCCACATCATTGTCTCTGGTGGACTTGTATATTTTCTGTAGCTATTTTTATAAAGATAATCTATTAATATGTTTTCTTCACATTATGTTTCAATGAACAGTAATGATAAGTTAGAGTAATTGATTTTTAGGAGTATGTGATTTTCAGCTTGTTTAGGACCGTTATATGTACATTTAGGTAGATATTATTAAGAACTTGTGGTCAGAATTATTATTTATAAAGTGTTAAAATAATCTTGTATAACAAACTGTCCACAAATAGAAAGCTGATAATTGGAATGCACTAAATTATCCATTGTTACTGCCAGTGATATTTTTGGCCTTAATAATAGACAGATGCATTTTTTATACATAAGATATAATGATATTTCTTAATCAACAGGTGCTGGTTTGGCCTTCATTGCCTACCCTGAAGCAGTAGCCCGTCTCCCTGTCTCACCATTGTGGTCGTTTCTGTTCTTTTTTATGCTCATGACCCTAGGAATGGGAACACAGGTAAATTTCATCAGCACATTCTTCAATATCACTTCAGTAGTATTTTTTTTATATTTTTCTTTATGCATGGGACAGAGATACGGGTCAGTTTCTTTAGACTATATGACTGTATCACGATTGTAGTCATATTTGCTTTTTTTCATGCTAATCCTCCCTTGACCTGGGGACATGGATATGTTTCGATATTTGTCAAAAAAAAAAAAAACTTGATCCAGCAATCTCTGTAGTTTTTCCCGCATAATCTTATTTTTCATATTCTTTATTTACTTAGTTTTCAGAAAATAAAGGTCTTCATTATTGTATGTTTCCATTGATAAAAACGTTTATACAATTACTATAATACAGTACCAAATAAGCGAAGATTATAATTACAGTATTTTAATGTAATTGCAGCATTATTTTTATATGTTTAAATATTGGGATCACAAAACAAAACACCTAATAATCTAATTGCATTCGGAACAGCCTGGCATGGCCAGGTGGTTAGAGCGCTCGACTCACAATCTCGTCTCACCAAACCTGCTTGCCCTTTCAGCCATGGGAGTGTTATAATGTGATAGTCAGTCCCACTATTCATTGATAAAAGAGTAGCCCAAGAGTTGGTGGTGGGTGGTGATGTCTAGCTGCCTTCCTTCTAGCCTTTCACTGCTAAATTAGGGACAGATAGCCCTCATGTAGCTTTGCGCAAAATCCATAACAAACAAACATGCATTCAGAATCTTCCTTTTCCAGAACCCACTGATGGCACAATGGTAAATCAATGGTCTTATAACATTAAAAAAGGGGATTTGACACCCCTGGTGAGCAGAGTACAAACAGCTTATTGTGCAACTTTGTGCTTTACAACAAACAAACAAACAAATCCTTCTCTAGAACTTCTTAGTTTTTCAGCACAAATCTGCATATTGTGCACATCAAATTTGATCATTATTCACCACTAAAGAAAGTCTACTTTAAATATTTATGTTATTAGGTTTCTTGTTGTGAGATAAATCTTCTTTGTGAGTGATTTCTTATTGTCATGAATAATTTGAATGTCATTTAACATTTACTGAAACTATATTAACGATAAAACAAAACGCAAATGTGATAATGGGAAAGATTTATTAAGCGTTTCAGAATCGTAATTATTCCATCATCGGTAACCTACAGGTACAAAGAAACAAACGATATTTGTAATTACAACAGAAATATATACATAAGAAGTAAACAATTCGAATATCGAATTATAACACGAGAAAATGAAAAATGTAGCATAAATGAAATAGTTAAAATAAGTTTAAATCAAGTGAAGACTATTTATTATGTAGTGACAGAAGAAGAGTTTTATGTATAATATTTCTTTTATATGTAACATTGTGTTTTTGTTTACTCCTTTATTTTCATCTAATCTTCTCCGTACAGTTTACCTTGATTGAGACTGTCGTAACAACAATTGTGGATACCTGGCCTAATAGACTTAGACGTAACAAGCATTACGTTCTGGGTCTGTGCTGTACTACCATGTTTCTCTGTGGCCTAGTGATCTGCACAGAGGTTTGTAACTGAAATTTATTAAAACAAAGCTGATAAGTAGTTTGATAAATAATCTATACTTTCTTATTCAAGATATACTTGCGACGCATCCTTGTAGTTGCATTTTACATAATATCGTAGTGTTTTAAAAAAATAAAGTAACAGTTTAATTAATATAGTAGTATTTTAATTATGTAATTTTTTTTCTATGAAAATTCTTGATAAAAATTAACTTCAAAATGTTTTACAGAGTGATGGACCTAAAATTAGTTTGTCTTTTTCTTTCTTTTTAAACTGATTTAACTGATCTGTTTTAGACGAATAATAAGAGGTTGAATTCTAATACTCAACTTTTCGTCACTAGGGTGGCATGTATGTACTTCAGCTGCTCGATAATTACTGTGCAAGTTTTTCAGCTTTGCTGATTGGAATCATCGAAGTTGTTGTGATTGGCTGGATATATGGTAAGTAACAGACAAATATATACCTTTGTTGAAGATCTGAACACTAATTTTATACTAGTGTTTAAAGAAAGGTAATAAGTTCTCTATCTTGGTATCTGTTTTTTTTCTGTGAATTAAATAACTTTATTGAATATTTACTGTTTTTAAACAATTAGTTTGACCTTAAGAAACCTTGTAATCTTTCTAGTTCAGCTCTTGATCGTTGTTCTTACTTAGTTTGTCAAACTTTGCTTTCACCGTCATTATTTGACAAGTGAGATAACTTTATAAAATTAAATTCAAAGGTGTATAGATAGAAAACCATTTTACTTCTAGTCTTATCTTTGAATAGTAATTAGATCAACTTAATTAAATAAATATATGTACATTTTATGTGTCATATTTCTTTTCTTTAGCTTCACTGCACTTGTGTTTTGTTTTGTTTTTTAATTGGGAACAAATATTCTTTTTTTTTTTCAACATTACATAAATTTATTTTTGTATCAAAAAGACTTTGGTAATGTTGCTTTAAGCATTCTAAATTAAAATTGTTCCAATAGGTATAACTTTATTTAATTACTGTTCTGATAATTATTCGGAGACTGTTGAATTCAGTTTAGCAAATGACTACTTTTGTCAATAAGTATAGGACATGAACTAAATATGATTATTCCATTAGGAATAGATCGTTTCCTTGACGATATAAAGGTGATGCTGGGTCAGTATCCCTTCCACTATCAATACTGGAGATTAATTTGGAAGATCCTCACTCCCCTGTCAATTGTTGTAAGTGGACAAATCCTATTCTCTTGGCCGTTATTAAATGACTAGCAGATACCATTCAACTAAATCACACAGTATGTCTTATACAACTGACAATGATTGCTTCTAACTTTACATATTAGAGACTTGTATTAATTCTCTGAACACTATTTGTTTTTTCTTTATTGGCTAGTTATGGAACTTTATATATGCAATATCTTGAATTGATTGTTGTAATAATCTCTTGTGTGATATTAATAATGGTGTTATATTTTGTTTGATTGTTCTCGTATTCACTTGTATCACATATTTGAAATTAATATTGCTGTTATATTGTGTTTGTTGTGATAATTACTTGTGTACGTATATGAGATTAATAATTACTTGTGTACGTATGTGAGATTAATAACATTGTGTGACATTGTTTTGTTGTGATAATCACTTGTGTACGTATGTGAGATTAATAACGTTGTGTGACATTGTGTTTTGTTGTGATAATTACTTGTGTACGTATGTGAGATTAATAACGTTGTGTGATATTGTGTTTGATTGTTGTGATAATTGTGTACGTATGTGAGATTAATAACGTTGTGTGATATTGTGTTTGATTGTTGTGATAATTGTGTACGTATGTGAGATTAATAACGTTGTGTGATATTGTGTTTGATTGTTGTGATAATTACTTGTGTACGTATGTGAGATTAATAGTGTGACATTGTGTTTTGTTGTGATAATTACTTGTGTACGTATGTGAGATTAATAACGTTGTGTGATATTGTGTTTGATTGTTGTGATAATTACTTGTGTACATATGTGAGATTAATAATGTTGTGTAACATTGTGTTTGATTGTTGTGATAATTACTTGTGTACGTATATGAGACTAATAATGTTGTGTGATATTGTGTTTCATATTTTATGTAAAGTTACATTTATTTATTTACAAAAAGATGTGTAGTTTACTTTTATTATGAAACAGCTATTGTTACATTTTCGGTTCTTTAATTTTAAAATGTGTATTATTTTTATTGGCTGTCCTGGTGTAAAATGTGTATTATTTTGTATTTTTATAGGCTGTCCTCAATGTAAAATGTGTATTATTTTGTATTTTTATAGGCTGTCCTGGTGTAAAATGTGTATTATTTTGTATTTTTATAGGCTGTCCTGGTGTTAAATGTGTATTATTTTATATTTTTATAGGCTGTCCTCAATGT